GTTGTTCCTGGGATGGGGAGGGAGAGTGTGCAAGGCGACAGCAGCACGCCCCCAATTCATCCAGCGATGCTCTAAGTTACCTGTTTGTTACTATTGCTCATCCTGACTCTTTTTTTCCTTTTTTCTTTTACCTCTGGAGATAGGGTCACACTCTATCACCCAGGCTGGAGTGATCACAGCTCACTGCAGCCTCCAACACCTGGACTCAAGCAATCCTCCCCCATCAGCCTCCAGGGTAGCTGGGACTACAGGTATGTGTGACCGCTCCTGGCTAATTTATTTTATTTTACTTTTTTTAGAGATAGAGTCTCACTGTGTGCTCCAGCTGGTTTCAAACTTCTGGACTCGAGCAATTCTCCCACCTCAGCCTCAGCCAATGTGCTGGGACTACAGGCACACACCATCATGCCTGGCTATTTGTGAGTGTGAGTACAGATGGCATCTCATTTTGTTGCCTAGGCTAGACTCAAACCTCTGGGCTCAAGCAATCCTCCCACCTCATCCTCCCAAAGTGCTGGGGTTGCAAGGGTGAGCCGCCATGCTTGGCCTCGTCTTTGAAGACTTGGAGTTCAACATCTATAATAAGAATCAAAAACCTAAAAAGCAGCAAAGGCCAACTGTGTCAGTCACCCTGTGGGACATCCCCCCAAATTCCCATGCTACAGAGATTCACCAGCGCAGGACTTTGAGAAATCCAAAGACCTTGCAGAATAGATGGACCACCTGGAAGAATCTCTAGAAATCACCTGGAAGTGGCCTTACCGACCACTGCGTTACTATGAATGAATGACTTGGGGGCTATGGTGTGCCAGGTCTTTGCTGGAGCTAGGGACACAAAAATAAGCCACACCGAGTTCTGGCCCCTTAGAGTTTGCCATCTACAACCCACTGGGCCATGCGGGGCTGGGAGATGCAGCAGGCCGAGGAGATCACAAAGCTGGGGCCCTGGACCATGGAGGAAACTACAGCTTCAGTGAACATTTCAAAAACTTCCCAATCACAAAGTCAAGAACAAAGCTGGGTGCAGTGGCTTCATGCCTGTAATTCCAACACTTTGGGTGGCGGAGGTGGGAGGATCTCTTGAGGCCAGGAATTCAAGACCAGCCTGGGCAACATGGTGAGACTCTGTCTCCACAAAAATTTGAAAAATTTGCTGAGCATGGTGGTCCTAGCTTCTGGGAGAGGCTGAGGCAGGAGGATTGCTGGAGCCCAGGAAGTCGAGGCTGCAAGGAGCTGTGAGCATGCCATTGCACTCCAGCTCAGACCATGACAGAGCAAGGCCCTGTCAAAAACAAACAAAAAAACCACACACACAAAGAACGAAGACATTTGAGTTTTTAATTCTAAACTAGATCTAAATGAGCATTTTTGGCTGTTGAATGTTGCTGTACCACCCTGCCCTCTCTTTGGATTCCTGTGGTCTTTCCCAATTTCTTAAGCACACGAACATGTGGAGGCATGGGTGAGGGGGCCCTGGGGACTGTGCATATGAGCTGAGTGATCATTGCAGGCCAGAGAGAGGTCACCAGCCCCCTTGGAAAGGAATGGTGCAGCTCCTGACCTTTCGGGGCCAGACAAGACTCTAATTGCTCCTGTGCTTCTGGGACTCAGAAGACAAACCCTGCCATCTCCCACCAGGCCCGCCTCCCAGCTGCACAAACAAAGCCAAATAAAAACTGCCAGCGGCCGCTGGTCCCCTTGCAACAGATGTGGTGCCTCTGTGCCATCTTGTCTGTTCTTAAGGGTTTGTTTTTATTGCAAACAGACAGATGTGGCTTGTCCCTTCCATCTTGTTTATGATGCTGCAGCAACACCTGTGGAAGAACAGGTCCCTGCAGAAATCCTTGACTTCCGTTCAGATGGCTTGAGACTAAGCCAGCCGGCTGGGCAACCCCATCTGCTAAGGATTTCAGGTTCCCCTGCCCAGGGACACCTGAAGAATCACTCACAGGGTAATCCCAGACACACAAGCATCACCACACCAATGCGCACGTTCCGTTTACAATGTGTACACCTTCATTCAAACATGCATCGAGGACCTATGCTGTGTGTGCTGCCTGGCCCTGCAGTCTGCACTGACTGACTTGTGTTTCAGCTCAGCTTCTCATTGCAAAGGCTGCTTTCATTGCCTGACCTGTGTCCCTTTAGCTATAGGACTCACTGCATTGAGAACCCACAGGCCTGACCCACGAGTGAGGGCCATGAGGCTTATGAGGATTGCCTTATTGATTCTCCCAGTTTCAGACAACGTGGCCCATGACCTGGTGTGGAACAGATCTGTGTCACCAGGGTGAATTCCATGCCTAGGTGCAGAAGGAAGAAGAAATGCTTGCACAGAGCCCAGGCCTGGGGGATATTCTCTGCTCTCAGCCCAGCTCTGTACACCCTTCTTAGAATTCCGCGGCTCCCTCCACGCTGTTATAGATCACTTGCTTTGCACTTACTTTATTTCATTAGCACAGATGATGGGAGAGCAGTGACACAACTTGTAACTTTGTGCAGCAACTGCCTCTGTGTCTTAACCTTATGTTTTCATGCCACAGCTTTTGCTGTGTAACAAACCACCCCCAAAACTCAGCAGCTTAAAAACAGCCACTATTTAGTTTGCTCACGACTCTGTGGGTGGGCTGAGTGGTTCAGGCAGCCTCAGCTAATCATTGCTAGGCTCACTCAGGCATTCAAGATCAGCCGGTGAGTGGGCTGGTGGCTGGAAGAACTCAGATGCCCTCAGTCATACAACTGGCAGCTGGCAGGCCATTGGCCAGGGTGACAAGGGTGACGGGGCCACATACCTCTCACCAAGCAACAGCTTAACCCTGGCTTCTTCACATGGTGACCACGGCAAGAGAGTGAGATAGAATGTGCTTTTCAAGTCTGCCTATGGTATGTTTTCAACTGTTCCATTGGCTAAAGCAGGTCCCAAGGCCAAGTTCAGAGTCAGTGTGGAAGTTTGGTGATGCTAAGAGCTAGGAGAGCTTAGACGCCAGCAAGAGGTGTAATTTGCCTCCAGTTTTGCAGTTCACCACTGGTTATTTTTTTTTTTAAATGTCATATTAATTTTCTAGCCTCTTCCATGGAATGTTTCCATCATTTAGCTTCAATGTTTAGTCTTTATAAATGAGGAAAATATTCAGTTTTGTTTTCCTCATTAATTCACAAGTATTTAGAATGTATCTTTAAATTACAATTGGGTTAAATTTTTTGCCTCAGATCTTTCTTTTTTTCTAATTCTGCTATATTGGGGTCAAGGAATTTCAAATTCGTTATATTCTTTAGGATTTTTAAAGCCATGTGCGTGGGTGTCTCTGTGAGTATAATTCTCAATATCCCATGGATGTTGAAGACTGCTTAGTTTTGTTATTTGATATAACTATATAGACACAGATATATGTAGATTTAGATTTAGAGAATCAGCCTTGTCTGTAATGTTTTAAAATTGTCTCTGTTTTTATTATTTGCCTGATCTGTTCAGTATCCTGAGAGGAGAATGCCACATTATTGTCATGTAGCTTACAGTATTGTTGCTTTTGTTGTTTGTTTTGAGATGGAGTCTTACTCTGTCGCCCAGGCTGGAGTGCATGGTACGATCTCAGCTCACTGCAGCCTCTGCCTCCCAGGTTCAAGTGATTTTCCTGCCTCAGCCTCTCCAATAGCTGGGATTACAGGCATGTACCATCAGGCCTGGCTAATTTTTTTTGTATTTTTAGTAGAGACAGGGTTTCGCCATGTTGGCCAGGCTGGTCTCAAACTCCCGACCTCAGGTGATCCACCCGCCTTGGCCTCCCAAAGTGCTGGGATTACAGGCATGAGCCACCGTACCCAGCCTGTCATGTAGTTTTACTTGATATAATTTTGTGCCACATTGCACAAGGAATTAAGAACTCATTAATTATACTAGAATTTTGTGGTTCTTATATTATGTATTCTTATGTATTCTTGGTTAAGCAAATTTGTTATCAGCATAAAACAATGGGCAGGGCACAGTGATTCACACGTATAATCTCAGTTCTTTGGAAGTCCAAGATGGGAGGATCAATTCAGGCTAGGAGTTCAAGACTAGCCTGAGCTACGTAGTGGAATCCCACCCTGACAAAAAGAATTAAAAAATTGGCCAGGTGTAGTAGAGCATACCTGTAGGCCTAGCTACTTGGGAGGCTAAGACAGGAGGATTGCTTCAGCCCAGGAGTTCAAGGTTACAGTCAGCTATGATCAACCCACTGCATTCCAGTCCGGGCAATAGAGAAATACCCTGCCTCTTAAAAATAATACTTAAAAAGCTCACTTCTCCTCCTTATTGTTGGTTTCACATAATTCCCTGTCATAATGGGCCAAAAATTAATAAAGCCACAATAGTGAGCATGCTCATTCTTACAGTGAGTAGAATTATAAATTGTGCTCTTCTTTGGGTAAAATGTGTTCATGTATTTTGAAATTATAAAAATACTCATCTTGGCCTGGCTTGGTGGCTCATGTCTGAAATCCCAGCACTTTGGGAGCCTGATGCGGGAAGATTGCTTGAGCCCAGGAATTCCAGACCAGCCTGGGAAACACAGTGAGATCTGCCATCTCTATAATCAAGAAAAATAAATAAACAATAAATAAATGAATAATAAAAATGTGCATCCCATTTAAAAGTTACAATACTTATTGAGATGATTATAGATTCACATTTAGTTGGAAAGAATAATACAGAGTGATCATAGATCATATATACTCTTTTCCTAGCTTCCCCCAATGATAGCATCTTGTAAACTACAGTATAATATCACAACCTAATATACTGACACTGACACAACTCAGCACCCCCATTCAGATGTCCCCAGTTTTACTTGTGTTCGCTGGTGTGTGTGTGTGTGTGTGTGTGTAGCTCTATACCATTTAATCCCATGTGTAGGTTCATGTATTAATATTTATTACTGCAATCAAGATACAGAACACCACTTGTTGAAAACACTATCCTTCATCCATTGAATAGCTTGTAAGCCTTTGTAAAAAAAAAAAAAAATACAGAGCACTTCATGAATTTGTATGTTCTCTTTGTGTAGAGGCCATGTTAATCCTCTTCGTTTTATTCCAAACTTTTGTTATATGCACGACCAAACTGAGCCCTGCTCAGACATTTTGACTTACCAATGCCACTTGTGTAAATAAATTCCTGAAGATGAAGCTATATTCTCCAGGCTATTCAGTGCAGCATTACTTACAACAGCAAATAAAAGAGGAAGGAGGCATGTCCGAAAATACTAGATAGAAAACATGCATTTGTTACCTATTGCTGTGTAACAAATGACTCCAAAATGTAATGACTCAGTAAAACAGCATTTATTATATCACAATGTGTGTGATATCTGGGTGTGGTTCCTCTGGATCCTCTAAACTGGGGTCTCTCACAAAACTGCTCTCAGGTGGCAGCTGAGGCTGGGGTTTCTTCTGAAGGTTCAGCTGAAGAAGAATCTACGTTCAAGCTCATTTACGTGGTTGTTGGTAGGATTCAGTTCCAAGGGTCTCAGTTCCTCTCTGGCTGTTTTAACAGTCTTCCCTCAGTTTATTGCTATGTGGGCCTCTCCATATTGCAGATCCCATCATCATAATGAGCAAGACGAGAGAATGCAAGAGACTGCAGGCAGTGTTTCATAACCTAATCACAGAAGTGATTTTCCATTCATTTTTCTGTGTTCTACTCATTAGAAGCAAATTGCTAGATCCAGCCCCCACTCAAGAGGAAGAGATTCCATAGGAGTGGGAATACCAGGAGGTGAGATTTGGGGGATCTATGGTGGAAGCTTCTTGTTATAATAAGTAAATTACTACACAATCATACTATTATGTACTATGCAAACATTGAATTTTCTCCAATAATTACATTGGGTATGGGGCATGTTGTCATAAGAAATGAAAAGAGCTTCTGTAACCTGAAACTCAATATCAAGTATTCTAAAATAAGTGAAACATAAATCCCAAAAGAAGATGAGAGAAATAGGGTACAGATAAAAATATCTGAGGAAATAATGACTGAAAATATCTCATATCGAGTCAAAATATATAAAACCTCAGGTCCAAGAGCTCAATGATCTTTCAGGAGGAGAAAATCAAAGTAAATCACACCAATAAACATTATATTCTTTTTTTTTTTTTTTTCAGACGGAGTTTCGCTCTTGTTACCCAGGCTGGAGTGCAATGGTGCGATCTCGGCTCACCGCAACCTCCGCCTCCCGGGTTCAGGCAATTCTCCTGCCTCAGCCTCCTGAGTAGCTGGGATTACAGGCACGCGCCACCATGCCCAGCTAATTTTTTGTATTTTTAGTAGAGACGGGGTTTCACCATGTTGACCAGGATGGTCTCGATCTCTTGACCTCGTGATCCACCTGCCTCGGCCTCCCAAAGTGCTGGGATTACAGGTGTGAGCCACCACGCCTGGCGCTCATAAACATTATATTCTAATTGCTGTAAATTCATGATGAAGAGGAAAAATATTAAGGGAACTGGAGTGCAATGGTTTGGATGTCTGTTTCTTCCAAATCTCATGTTGAAATTTGATTCCCAATCTTAGAGGTGGGGCTAATGGGAGGTGTTTGGGTCATGGGAGCAAATTCTTCATGGATGGATTAGTGCCCTTTCTCAAAGTGAGTGAGTTCTACCTCTAATATGTCCTTAAAGAACTGGTTGTTAAAAATAGCCTGGCACCTGTTCTATCCCTTGCTTCCCCTCTCTCCACATGATCTTGGCACACAATGGCTCCCCTCTGTCTTCTGCCAGGAATGGAAGCAGCCTGAGGCCCTCATCAGATACAGATGCTCAATCTTGAACTTTTCAGCTGCCAGATTCATGAGCCAAATTAACCTCTTTTCTTTCTAAATTACCCAGCTTCAGGTATTCCTTTACAGCAACACAAAATGGACTAACACACAGAGGGGGAAAAGACTCTTACTTATAGAAAAATAAAGATAAAAATAATATCTTTATCCCCTAGCAGAGATATTGCAAGCCAGAGATAATGGAGCAACACCTTTAAAAAGCTGAAAGAAAATCCTGTCAACCTAGAAGCATATATCCAGTGGAAATACCCCTCAAAATGGAAAGAAAAATAAAGACTCTTTAGATGACCAAAACGAAGAGAATAATCACAAGTTGATCTGCTACACAGAAATGTTTAAGATACTTCTTCAGGCTGAAAGGAACTGATAGGAGATCACAACATGAAGGAATAGAATCTACATGAAGGAATAAAAGACCTAGAAATGGCAAATATATGGATTAAATATAAAATATATTTTCCTGGCCGGGCGCGGTGGCTCAAGCCTGTAATCCCAGCACTTTGGGAGGCCGAGGC